GGACCGAGGCAGGGGTTTCAGGTGTGAGCTGCCTGGCGCTCACCCAGCTTGGCAAGGGGATGTGAGTCCTGGGGAAGATTCAAGCCCAAATGTTACTTGGGGAAATTTATGTTCTAATTCCAACACACAGCCCCTCTCCTCTCCCTCAGCCTTCCTCCTTCCAAATCGCACAGTTGTTTAGGTTGGAAAAGACATCCAAGGTCGAGTCCAACCCTTAACCCGGCACTGCCAAGTGCACGACCATAAAACATGTCCCCAGATCCTTACCCTCCATTGTAGTACAAGCTACTCCTTCTAGAATTCCCTGAATTAGTTCCTGGAGATGCATTTGGGGTTATCTTGGACTCCTTATTCTTCCCCTGGCTCAGTCCTCGTGTAGCAGAGCTGTGGTGGTTTTTTAATGTTGTTTCTGCAGAGCACCTTGCAGAGATTTTGGGGGCTCACTCAGTTGTTTAGAAAGAACCAGACTTGTGACCTTTTTGCATTTCTCAGTCACTGTTGCCACGTCATTCAGAGCTGGTTCCCTGGCACGTGGGGCTTCTCCTCCACATCACTTGTGCCCTGGGCATCGTTGTGGGGCAGCTTTTCAGGCCCTGAGGACACAAACTGGTGCTGTCAGTGGGAATTATGCCCCAAAATACCCCTTAAACTGAATAACAAATCTCTGGCTCTAACACAACACCTTGTTCTGTGGGAAAAGATTGATGGCCTGAGCTGAAGGTACAACTAAAAATTTGATTAATTAGTAGTAAATAAGGCACTTTTGCTTTTAACAGGTTTATATGGGTTTAATGTTCAGTGACTTCTGTACTGAGGGGTCTGTTATTTGTTCATGATTAGTAACAATATGAGTTTGCTGGTTTTTTTTACTTCTAAACAACTTATGAGTGTTCCACTGTCCTTGGGCCCCTCACTGAAATGTTTGACCACTCAAAGTCCGAGGTTTTGGTGACAGACAAATCCTTGTGTGATTTTTAAAATCCCTAAATAGCCCGAAGGTCCAGCCCTGCAGTTTTAACACCAGTCCCAGCCTGGCTCAAGGCCATCCCAGTCTGTCACACACAGACCCCTCAAGCACCCAGGCAGTTGTTCTCACTATTTTATGAGGGTTATCCTGACTTCCTCCACCCCTTTTTGGCCTTGTGACTGATCCACACCCTCAGTCTGTCCTGCTTTGTCTAACAGGATATGGTGAGAACTGTCCCTCCTCAGATGCTGCTTCCTTGATAACTGCAAAGGATGTTCTTAGTACTTTTTATTCTTTGCCAAGGGCATGTTGCTCTATCAGCAGAAGGTGTTCTGAGAGCTGGGGTGCAAACCCAAACAGGTTCAGACAACTAAATAAAAGTGGAGCATGAGTCAGGCTCTTGGAGTAAGGAAGGTGATTGTTTGCCGGGGGATGTCAGAAGGCTGCACAGTGTGAATGATGTGTGCAGTGGGTTCAGTTCTATACTGAACAGTGAAATAGTGTTTTTTCAGTTTGGGTAACTGATTTGAACCACAGATATGCTGCCTTGGTGCTGGGCTTTAAGGATGAGATGGCTTTGAGGTGCTGGTGTTATCAGCCAGGGAGTTGAAATGTTCAGGGGTTGTATTTGAGGCTTCACAGGGAAATGAAAATCCCCCTTCCCCACACCCCTGTCCTCTGTTCTGAGAGGGGCTCTGTGATGCACCAACCTGAGCTGCAGAGCTGGCCTAAAGGTCCCTGTTGTCCTCCCCCCATGGTCACCCACCCTTCAGGGGTGCCAGAACAACCACGGATTGGTATCTTGGGGGTTATGACCCTTAGGAACATGTCAGAGGGTGAATACCCAGCTCGTGCCCAGATTGGGCTCTGGGGTGAGCTCAAGGTCAGCATTCAGAACTAAAACTTTCAGCTTTCCTGGTATTAAGGGGGAAACAAGGCTTGGACTGCTAATCCTGTGAGGAAAAACTATGGTTCTTTCTTAAATTAATGCTGAGCAACATAATCTGCTTAGTGAAGTGAGGGGGGCTTTGTCCCTGTTCCTAAATCCTGCCCAGAGAACTCTTTGCATCCTGTCCTGGGGGGCACAGCAGAGCTCTGGGGTCACCCCGTGCTGAGGGTCCTGAGTGTCCAGCAGGTCACTCCAAAAGCCACTTTCACTGGACCTGCTGCTGTCCCTGTTCTGAGACAGCACTTCTGGGAGGGGAAATCCCTGCCTGTTTGACAGCAAATCCACCCTCTGGGAATGACATGGAGTGTTACTGGGGACTCCTAAGGGACACTGGCCTTTGGGAAGGTCATCAGAGATGTTGTATCATCTCCTCAGTGTGCTGAATCCCATGTTCCTTCACCAGCTGCTTGTCAGAGTCCTCTCTGGGTCCCACAGGTGGGTCTCTGGGCAGAGAGCAGAGTCTTATTCCATCATCCAGCCCAGGGAGAGCTACCTAAAACGTCCCAGGGATAGGTTTAGAGGGACCTAAAGGCTGAATCCACACAGCAGGTCTGCAGTGAGCGAGGTGAGGAGGAGCAGACAGGAGCCTTTTGTCCTTACTTTCATAAGTGGCTTGTGCTGCCCCTTTGCCCTTGTTTTTGTGGACATGCCCTGAAGGTTTGCAGTGACTGTACAAAGCTGGTGGAGTTGATGCTGTCCCAGGAGCTCTTGGCACCTTTCACCTGGTGTGGAGCCCGTGGTGTCACTCAGAGGAGCTCATGGTGGATGGATGCCGTGGGAAGGGCTGGGCAGTGGGAACAGGGAGCTGGCTGGGAGCAAGGAAATCCAGGATTTATGTTGTATGTTTAACAGCTGAGCATTGCTGGGTCCTGCCTCAGCTTCAGCTAACGGCATCAGCTTCTAATTAATTGGATTTTTGTTTTTAAACTCATAATTGTGGCATCTGCCTTTGCTGACAACAGCCCTTTGTCAGGGCAGGAGGAACACTCAGCTGCCCCTCGGCCAGAAAAACTGTGAATCCACTTTTCTACCACCCTCTCCTCCCAGCTTGGCTTTCCTGACATCTGAAAAATTACTTTTCCTCTCTCTGAATGCATAACTGGTTATTTATACACAAACCATGGAGTGTTTACTCCGTGTACCTGACCTAGAAAAAAAAGATCAGTCAAGACCTCTCCCACCAGATGTGTCAGTCAACATGTGATCTCCATATAATTTATAAGGTCTTAAATTACAAAATAATGGCTCTTTTCAGTTAGCATTTGGCACATGATGATAGTGTTACATTTTATGTGAGAATATCAACCACAGCTCTTGCCCCATAAAACTGCAAACAGAAATTTGTAACCATTGGCACTGGTTTGGCTTCAAAAAAGACACCCATTATACTGGGATTACAGTCCAGCCATGGATGTAGAGGCTGGAGCTTGTCCAGTCCCACAGAATTTCCCCCCCCCTCTCTTTTAACATTTCCTTAACAAGCCCAGACAGTGGTTTCTAGGCTGGATTTTTCTCTCTTCCCTTGGATTTAACTAGAGGAAGGTCTGTGGAGCACACACTGAGCACAAGGTCTTGCAGGACTCTTGCAAATGAATCTGCAGCCACCACGTGTGAGAACAGCCCTGTCCCACAAAGCTCCCAAACCCCACAGAATCCAGGAATCTCATCTGGCTGCTTCTTGCCTGCAAGTGGGAAGAAGCAGCTTTAAAATCAGATTTACGAGGTGACAGTTGGATGCTGCCCACTGAGACCAGGCTGTGTGTAAACAGGTCCCTCATCTCTCTGTAAAACTGAATTAATCAGGGTTTTGCCTTGGAGAAGAACCTTTATTCATGTACCATATATTTTTCTTGCAAACAGGAAGATGGGTGTTTAGACACGTGGGGGGATTGTTGGGGTGACCAGTGCAGGGCCAGGAGTTGGACTTCCCTGATCCTGGTGGGTCCCTTCCAACTCAGGATTCTGTGATTCTAAATGCACCCTCAATTTCTAGTGAATCCTTCTCGCTCTCATTCCTTCTCTCACCCACCCCCCAAAAAATAGAGCTTGTTAGTGAATTCTTTCCACCCTCATTCCTTCTCCCATCCCTAAAAACACAGCTCTTGTCTCATTAAACACCATTTTAACAACCATTTATTGGTGGGGTGGTGGAGGAGGGTGTCCCATCTCTCACCCAGTTTGGGATGTGTCAGAGTCGCGGGTGGCTCCACAACCCTCCTCTTCTCCCAGGGTGAAGGATGGTTTGGGGTGAAGGATGGTTTGGGGTGAAGGATGGTTTGCTGCACATGGAACACCCTCCTGGGGTGGGAGCCTGAAAATTCCCTCTGGCCTCACTTTGCCTTTTGATGTGAAGTCACAGAAGCAGCTCCTCTGCAGTGCAGACACTTCATGGGGAGTGCTGGAATGGGCTCACCAGCCAAAGGAAATACGGATTTGAAAAATCCCCCTGAAGGGTTTGGGTCTGGCAGGAAAGGGGCAGAGCCCTGCCTGACACTTTGCCTTGGTTAAATGGCAAATATTGCTGCTTCTTGAAGTCCAGCTCCTCCTTCTGCTGGAGGCAAACCCTTCCCAGCTGCTGAGAAATTCCCTTGTCCTGCCGCATCGACCTCATCCACCAACTTGGGTGAAAGATCTCTCCTTGTTTTCACATTTTTCTGCTCCAAAGTGCTCGTCTGAGGGTTTAATATACAGCAAAACCCTCCCCAGCCAGTCTTGTGTGCAAGTTCCCAGCAAATCTCACTGTAACTTGGAACTGAGAGATGTGTAATGATACAGAATATTTTGGCTGCTCTCACACTCTCTGTATATAAGGAGTTGATCAAACACTGTTTCTCCAGTAAGAGCCAATAAGTGACACTTCAGGGCTGAAATAGGATTATTTCTGGGATCTGTCAGCCTTGGTAAGCAACTGACTTCTTTATTCAAAGTGAATGCAGTGCTAAATAAATATTCCCTTCAAAGCATTAACATATTTTACAGCTGAATTCTTTTCACACTTAAACCTCTGTTGCTTTGAGTAGTGATCACATTGGACGTGCAGCTCTCACATCTCACGAGGCTTCAGCACAGACACTTAAAACACAGTTGAGTGGAAAACATCTGTTCAATTAATACTTAGTCTCTCTTTTTTTTGGCAGCATAGTCCTAGAAGTAGCTTTATGCTGTCCCGTGGAAAAGGTAGATTGCTGATCTAACAAGTTGTAACTTTATACTTTGTCCAATTTAAATTGTTTTCCTCGTTTGTGCATCTCACACTTAAGAATGAATCAGCCTGTGAAGGTCAGCAAAGCTTCAACTATGAACCAATAGCTGGAGAAATGAACCATCTGATCAAATGGAATGACTGCAGACAGTTAACTTTCCATATTTTTCACTCATCTATAAAAAGAAATGGAATAAATGAATTGGAAAACAAGACAACGTTGCTGTAGCCAACTAAGAAAAGAGTGCAGCAAATTGATTTACTGTTTTTGGGGAGTGACTTTGAGCCCTTTTAATTAACTGACTGTGTAGCAAAACCCATTAAGCAATCACTCACAAGATTTTCTCCTAATTGGCTGCTCTGACACCAGTTGTCCATAATCCAGTGAGGTCACTGCTCCGTGGTCCTTCAGCTGCTCTTGGTTTCCACACAAGAGCTTTGCCCTTAGAAGAATCCTGGAGTTCAGGCCCTTTTCCAGCTGACTTTGTATAGCCCAGCCCTTCTCAGAAATAATCATATATAAGCCCCTGGAATATAAAACCCCAAGTACAACAGAACTTTTCACTCTTTCCTTCTCCCTTGAGGTGGCATTTAAATTTAAAATAAATTAAAAGGCAGCTTAATCTTGCAAAAATGAAACTTATTTCAACACTGCGTTATTAATTATGTTTTCTCTTATTATTTTTCTCTTCTGTCACCAAGCAACTCTTTTGTCTACTTTCAAAACAGTTATTTACACTTCAAACTTCTCCACACAGTAAATTCCTGTCTCTAGGAAAACCAGGCTGCACACTCTTGCAGTGGAATAAGGAAAAGCCACAAGCTTTTATTATGCCTTTTTAAGCAAACATACATATTGTGTGAAGTTACTGAGTTAACATACGATGATGCATCTCCAGAAGCCAGGAAATATTGGCAGGAATCTCCAGGAAAATGAAATTTTCTATTTCCCAACCGGTCCCACGTCAACTGCCGGGGGGAAGAATGCCAAATGTTGGCATTTGGGGATTCAAGTCGTTCTGTTTCCTCCTTGGTTGGTGCACGTGTTGTTGCCTATCCGTGATCTCCAGAGGGAGATCCACTGGGATTTTTGTATTTCGTGTTCAGCCATTGAGTCCGACGGGACCATCCCTGGGGGAGGGTTTGTCTGGGGGTGCAGTTGTCCCCCAGCAGCTTTTCTTCACCGACACCATGTGTGAACCCACGTGTTGTGGAGCAGCTCTCCCACACGGGGTGTCAACCAAGAGCTAACGGGGGATAACTCCATGTGTAAACATCTCTCTAGAAATGGGATTCAGAGGTGGGGTCTCCCCCGTTGGTGATGGCCTGGTCACTCAGCTCGTCCTGTGGCGCCGGCAGCGCCGTCTTTGTCAGAGGCGTCTCTGTCTTGAAAAGAGAATCCATTTTGATCTGGGTTTTTATGTTGAACGACTTCTGGAAGGACTCTGATGTGAAGTAGTAGATGAAGGGGTCGAAGCAGCAGTTCAGGGTTGCGATGCACAAGGTGATGGGGTACATGGTCCGTGCAAACCTCTCCAGGGAGCAGTTGGCGATGGCCTGGGACCGGACCAGGGCGTAGAGGAACAGGATGGAGTTGTAGGGCACGAAGCACACGACAAAAATGGCCACGTGCACAACGATCATCTTCAGTACTTTCTCTTTGTTTGTCCCAATCTGGGACAAGGTGGCGGGTTTCCGCAGAGTCCGGAGAACTAACGAGGAGCACGTGAGGTTGAGGAGCAAGGGAATGATGAACCCCACCACCTCAATAAATATGGTGATCTTGGACAGGTAGGTTTTCCAGATGCGTTTGGAGAAACCCTCGAAACAGGTCGTGCTGGTGTTGGAAACATTGGTGGTGGAGAAGAGTGAAGCTGAAATCCCACCGCTGAGGACCAGAATCCAGACCCCGGCACAGACTATGGCAGAGTTCCTCCTGGTCCTGATGGTGCGGGAGCGGAACGGGTACACGATGGCGAGGAACCGGTCGACGCTGATGCAGGTGAGGAACAACATGCTCCCGTAGATGTTGGTGAGAAAGGCCGTGCCAGAAATCTTGCACAGGCTGTCTCCGAAGGGCCAGTGCCTGTTGAAGTTGTAGAAGATTTTAAAGGGCAAGGTGAACACGAAGAGCAGGTCGGACACCGCCAGGTTGGTCATGAAGATGGCGGTCTCGCTCCTCATCCTCATGCGGAAGCAGAAGACGAAGAGGGAGGCACAGTTTGTGATCAGGCCGAGGATGAAAACCACGCTGTACACGGCTCCATACAGGTTGTACTTGAAGGAATCATCTGTCAGACAGGTATGATTGTTGCTGTGGTTTCCCATGCCAAGTTTGGGATGTGCTTCCAAAGGCCTTCAAAGTCTACTGCAGGGACATCCATAAAATAAGGCCGTGAGCTCGTCCCTTCCCCCGGGAACGCATTCCAGGGAGGCTGATGGACACTCTGCTACCACGGCTCCATCACGGATCTTTTCATCCTAAAGGAGAGAGAGATTTGCCATCAGTCATCCCAGGTAGTTGTGCAGGAGAACACGTTCTCTTCCCTTCCCAAATTAATGGATGTGCAAATCAGACCAGGAATTAATTTTCAGGGAGGCCTTTACAGATTCCACTGTTACTGGGATGTTTTGAAGCTGAACACAGCACTTGCTGCACTCAGCCTTTCCTTTCCTTTCATCCCTCATCCTCCTATTGGAAGGACAGTAATCCCTAATTCCATCTTGCTGCTCAGAAACATATTTATTTAAAATCTGGGCTGGAATTGGCTCAGTGTGTTTGGAAAAAAATTGAATTGTGGACCCACAATATTGCCCAACCAAACGGTCTGAAATATTCACCTAAACTTGTAAAAAGAGGTGAAAGAAGCTGAAAGTTTTAGTGTTTGCTTTAAAAACTGTGCAGAAAGGAAAGTTCTGTGGATTTTCAGCATTTTCTGAAGCAAAAATATTAAAAGAAAACCCCAAACCTATGATAACCAAGACCTGCTTTGCCTTTTTTCTACTTGAAATTGGGAGCATCCTTACACGTGTTTTTCAAAGTGCAAAATTGCCATGTTGTGCCTCAGAAATGTTTCTCAAAAACACTTCCCAAAGTCGTGTTTGCTGCTTTTGGAAATTGCTGCCCTTTTTTGTTTTCCTTAAAAACGTCTGCAAAAAATGGTATTACTTCCAAAGGGACTCTTTTTGCAAGGGTAAAATGCTTCCCAAAAAGGGATTCCTTAACATGTACTGACAGCTGCCTTTCTTTTTCACTCTTTCTCGAGGTTTGGAACCTGAAATTCGGGAAATCTCGTGTTGTAAACCTTTGTCCCAGCTCAGTAAGCTTTAGAGATACGTAGGGGTGATGTAACCACATTGTTTGTTAGAAAAAAAGTGCTCTCTGAACTGTCTTGATCTTCCCTTCTTGCTATTCTAAGTACTTTTAATGCCTGTGAGGATAAACCCTTGGAAAGTCTCCCTGGTTGGAGCAGGAAGGGTTTGTGAGCTGAGGGAGGGTCTGGGAGTTGGATCGTGGGCACGGCACGTCTTGGAAACGTGGAGCAAAGCTGGGTCACTGAGGGAGAGACCTTTGCCTTGTAAACCACAGCCAACCAAATACTAAACAAAGTTTGTAATCTCCTTGTAATCTAAGAAACCTCTTAGTAGCTACAACTCTGAGTGACTTAGAGCTGAAACCCTTGTGAGGAGCAGGATCCTCTCCAGAGGGTGACCCCCTGACAGCGCAGTTTCGACAGCAAACGTGTCACTGAGTTGTGCTAAAGGTTGAAATGGCAACATATAAACAAATAAACTGGGGGAGAAAGCATGGATTTGGGACAATTTGGGATGCAAATGGTCAAAATCAGATGCTTTCCATATGTTTTCCTCCCAGGAGAGCTCAGGCTGACTGTTGTTGTTGCGTTTGAGCTGGCGGTGGATCAGCTGGTGGGATGTCAAGTGCTGGGGAAGGTGGAACAGCCACAGCTTTGCCAGGTGGAAGGTGAAAGTTCTGCCCTCAGCTGGGAATTCCTGGAGAACCACAGGCTTCCCAAAACCAGTGCTGTGACCCAGAGATGAGGCAGCACCTCATCTTCACACCCTGTAGGTTAGTTGGACATAAAGCCAAGAGCAGGAAGGGAGGGTGAGCAGATCTCCCTTCCCAGCTGGCTTTCAAGTGACCTGAACCTTTGGACACCCAAAAAGATGAGTTGGAGCCCTGTGGGAGGGTTGGACTCTAAGATCTCGGAGGTCTTTTCCCAGCTGAAGGATTCCCTGGCTCTCTGCAGGCTGGGGAGGGAAGGGGTGCTTTGGGTGGCTTTGCTGTGCTGAGCTCCAGAACACCCCGTGGCTCTCGGGGCTGTCTCTGTGCACACATTGCACCCCCCCGAGTCAATTCTTCCTTCCTTCTGGTGTCGTTTTGAGTTGCACACTTGTGATGATGTCCAGCACCAGCAGATGATCAGACCAAGGGCAGATCTGTCCTTGTCTGGTTGATGTTGACAGTGTGGCAATGGCAAAGGAGACCAATCCCACCTTGGGGCTTTTTCTACAGTAGGGACTTCATTGTGCAGCTGCACAAGGACAGGTAGAAAGTAAACTGTTCCTTGCACCCTTTGGCTTGTGCTCATCTAGGAGTTTTTCCTACTAAATTCATGGCCAAATGAACTTTGTTGTGAAGCAGCCTAAAAAAACCATCAAACATTTGAATTATGGAAAGTATAGCAGTAAAATCTCAAATGTGCATTTTCTTTGGATCTGTGGCAGTCTAAATAAGGAAAGGTCTTGCCTGAAAGTTAAAATGCCTTTGAGCAAGAACTTATTGGATTGAAAAGTGCACATGAGCTCCAACAGGAATAGCTGTGCCTTGGCTTAACCCTCAGCCTAAAGCATTAAATTCTTGGCTTGTACCTCCCCTTCAGTACAGAACTGCCTGTTATCTCCATCAGGAACACTTTTTGTTTATGCTGAAATGTGACCCCTGTGAGTGTGTGAAAACCAGGTGTGCCAGACTCTCCTGGTCCAGGCTTCGCATCTGGGTCCTGGCTGGGGAGGTTTGAGAGGGACTGGGTGTTCTTTGAAACCTCACATAGATGGAAACCCCGCCTTCCAATCTGTCCAGGGCTTTGGCAGCTCCTCAAGACACAGCCTGGCACAGCAGGTTTGAAACTCTCCCCTTTCCCACTGGCAAAGTGCTCCTTGCCTAACCCAGCTGCTCCTCACACAGGAGAAAAGATGCTGCCTCACTTTAATCTTTGCTCCCTGCTCTGCACCAGACAACCTTAAGGTCTTATCCAGTTTTTTCTAGTGGGTAATCTCTGGGAATTGCCTGCCAGCAATTGTCTAGTTAACTTATGGGCTTTAAAATACAGCCTGGCTTGTTTACCTACGGAACCCTGAGGGGTTGAAACAAGCTGACAAGTGGCTTTGAAACCCAGCCATGTGCTTTAAATTCTGCAGTATGACTCTACAGATTGAGTTTTTGGAGTGTAAAATTCACTTTCCTCCCTTTTCACTAGGGATTAAAGCAGTAGGATGCTCCTCATGTACACCACGGGCACCACTGCTATTGTCTTGCTGGGAAAGAGTAAAGAAATATATTTTAAAAAGCTGAGTTAAGTAAATATAAAGAAGACCACTTTAGCACTCTGTATTTCAGGCAGGGCAAACCTTTAAATCCTATACTTAAACTGGGAGGGCAGTAAAGGAGGGCAGGGATGTGCTAAGCTGTTGTCAGAAGCGGCACCATAACAGAATAAATACCCTTTCCATTGTGATAATATTCAGAATATTCTCTCTCATAGCAGGGATGGTACAAACAAACCTGCAGCAACCATCACTTACTCATGTCACCCTGTTATTCAGAGTTATGGCTCAGCAGAGTAGCTCCAGGATTTGCTCCCACTTGCCCTTCATTGTAGAAATATCCCATCCTCCGTGTACTGGAAAGAAAGGAAAACTTGTCCCTGTGACTTCCTATGGTGCCTGAGTATCCTGTTTACAATTCTTGTGTTTCCTCCTCCTGACACCCCAAGAAACCTTCCAAACAGCCACACTGCAGCTTGACTCAGATCAACAACTATCTGTGAGAACAGAACTGACTGCAGGTAAAAATGAAACTCTGTAATTCCATTGAGCCCATTCCCACAGATCCCATTCTCCACATGTCCAGCAAACTGAGGTCAGGAAAAACAGAGGGAAGGTCAGGACTGACATTTTTTGCATCACCACATTTTCTTTTACTCCTGTGAGATGTCAGATGAGTGGAACTTTATCAGTGTGAATCTGCAGGACATCCTGTGTGTTCATTTAAATAACTAAAAAAAGCCTCTTCTTGTGAGGTTGCTACAGCCCTGATGTGAAAACCTTCCAAATCTGAGGGATCTCTTGCCAGATTATGGCTGTGTGTGCTCAGGTTATCTCTTAAATCTTGAGAAACAGAGGGTTTATAGGTACAGAAGCCAAAAACTGAAGGATTCCAGGTGGGGATTTTGGGAATTTGGGGGTTTCTCTGGGATTTGTCCCCAAGTGTCTCAAGGTCACAGCAGCACTTGTTGTGTTGTCTCAGCCCCTGACCTTGGCAATAAACAGGTATTTTCCTCGGGCACAGCATGTGCTTTGTGCCTTCTCTTGACAAGAACTACATTCATTGGAGGGTTTGCCCTTCCCTGGTACTGACCCCGCTGCTACAATCAGTGTGTGATGTGTAACTCACTCCCATCACCGAGCCCAGGTTACGGCTTTGCAACCACAAACTCATTCCTGCAACTTCTTGGGGTTTATTTCCCTCCTTCAGTCCACTTCAGTTAGGTAGAAGGCTCAAAAAAAAAGGTTTTGTTGGGGGGGGAGATGTTTGATTTTTTGGAAGATTTTTGTAGAGATGATAATTCTCTATAAGGCTGTAAGACTCAAATTCTTCCAGGCAGGAGAACCATAAGAAAAGTGAGATAAACTGCAGCTGTTTGAGTAGATAAAATGGAAACTGTGTGATGAAAAAGAAACTTTTTCTACCTGAAAAATTATTTGTAGCTCAGTTCCTGCAATGGGATCTCCACTGACTTGTACTTTTGCTTTTTGATAAAAGTTTCATTGGAGGTTTTTGGTTGTAGAGAACTCGGAGAGAATCAACTGAAAATGGATATAAGGACAAACCTCTAGTTTGGGGCAATCTGGTGGCTGATCTTCCCCTGTTTGAGGCTGTCAGGGTAGTAACTGGTTCTGCACAGCTCTGTTTTCCCAGTGTGGGCTTATGGAAAACTGGACCAGCCCGAGCAAGTGATGCTGGATCTGGAGAAATGTCTGGGGATGGGAAATAGTTTGGGCTTGGCTCTTAAACCGACCGGTCTGTGATCTCTCCATCCTCCCCAGAGCCTCTTGCAGCTTCCCAGTAACCTCCCCTGGTGTGGTGGGAGCAGGGAAAGGGTGGGATTGCAGGGTGGGAAGCAGAGCAGCTGCCTGTAAACAAAGCTCTATTGAGGATCCGAAGCGATGGGAAGGAGAGAAATGCTTTAATCTCTTTCATTTCCTAATCCCAAGTGATGTATTCGAGAACAGTAGGACAGGAGCAGACAGAAGTGTGACTTTGAAGTCCGGGGAAGGTTTGTGGAGCTTCAAAGAGCCTTCCTTGCCTGGTTTATCGAGTGAATGCCCGGCCGGTGTGCTGGGGAAAGGGGACGTGTTCGGGTGATTAGCATAAAAGACAAGGCAGGAAGGCTCTTATTCATGGCTTTGACACTTATTGTGCTGAGGTCCTTCAGTGCCATGGTCCCGACACTCCCCGGGATTTGCTGTGGGTGGAACAAGGTCTCCTGTACCTGCTGGGAAGGTGGAATTGTGAGTTACTCGCTTCAGTCAGGATTCACCAGCTGCTTTTCAAATGCTCTTTGATAGAAAAAAAAAACCAAAACACAGGACCCCGAGGCGTCTCTTTTCATTCAGCCACCACGGGAGAGCCCCAGGACCCGCTGGGATGAGGTGGGAGAGCACCGGCCACTCCCTTCTCCTGGGGTGGTTTTGCCTCCTGGGGAACCTCACACACCCTCCAGGTTCAGCACAACCTTCTGTTGTGAATGAACTGCAGCAGGACCCCAATTTAATTCTCCTCTAGGATGGAGCAGGGAGGAGGAAACCTGAGCCCCTCCCGGAGCGAACCCTAAAGGCACTTTGCTTTTTTCCTTTCCTTTTTTTTTTTTTTTTTTGGTTTTTAATTGCTCAGCACCGCCGTTGTCTCCTCACTGTCCTCTGAGACTTACAAAGCATTTCCTGCTCGTGGTGCCTTCTCTGCGCTGTATCTGTTTTGTATTGAGCTAATTAAAATGTTTCCTTCAGAAGAGAATAGTGAACTGCCTTACCCCACATTCAGCCACTGATCCTCAGGGCATGACTCTCTTTTTGTTTTCACTGAGAATGTCTCTCTCCATTTACATCACCCCTTTAACCCTTGACGGGCTCGGCTTTCCCCATCCACTGCAGCTTCCAGAGGGGCTGGTCCACAGCCCTGAAATGATGGAACTCACCCCAAACTTCCCAGCAAAGTTTACATTATTTTTGCTTTGCCCCTGTGGATGGAGGGCAGCAGGAATGCTGCTTGTTTTGACCCCCAGGGCTCTCACCGAGGGGGGATTGCTGTACAATGGCATGGCTTGATTCACTGGAGAAGATTTAGATGCAAAGAAAAGCTGATGAACTGATGAAAAGCAGAGTTACTCTGTCTGACCAGGTCGTTTTCCCCCAGGAATAATGTTTGTAGTGGAGGTTGCTGTGTCTTTGATGTTGCCCTGTTTATTTACAAAGCGTGGTTAAGAAAAAAACATAAAAAATAAGCGAGTCTTGTTTCCCTGAACCACTGGGGACTCCAACAACAGGCCAAGGTTTATTTGCTTACAGTTCCAAAGGCTTTCCAGTCAGGGGCCTGCCCAACAAGCTTCCTTTCTTCGCTTTCCCTGACACAATTTCCAGTGGTTCCTTGGTGACTGCTTGGCTTTTTGGCTCCTTGGTGCCTTTTCTCAGCCACATGAAACCTCCTTTCACCTGGCCTTGTCCGACCCACTGGGATCCTCTGCAGCCCTTTTGCTGAAGCAGGAGAGATGAACTTTCACCTCTTTATCCCAAATTTATGGGCTTTTTTCCCTTCCCTGCATCCATTAGCACCAACAGGCTGCCAGCCCAGCAGCACAAACACCTATCTCACCTTGGCCAGCTGAGCTGGGTGTGAGGGGCTGTGCTTGGTTTTCCTGGGGGGGCTGGGGACAGTCTTTCCATGGGGCTGGACACAACCTATGTTCAGGACCTCGAGGGATCTGTGCCCTGCAATTATTGACTGCAGGGAGTTGATAAAATAGGGCTTTATTCTCCTAAATTGGTTTATTCTGTGGGGAAAAGGGAAGGTTTGAGACTCATAAAATGGTTTGTGTTGGAAAGGGATCTTAAAGCTCATCCAGTCCCACCCCCTGCCATGGGCAGGGACACCTTCCACCAGCCCAGGCTGCTCCAAGCCCTGTCCAACCTGGCCTTGGACAGAACTCCCTCTGACAGAGCATGGATGTGGCATCACCAGCCTTGGTTTCATCTGCTCCATGGTCTGTCCTTGCACCTGGAGATCCCCAATTCCTTCCTGGAGCTGCTGGATTCCCTGTTCCCCTCAGGACACGTTCCCCAGCAAGGAATTTGGAGCATGACTGGGGTTTCCATGTCATCTCCCTCACCTCACCTGTGTGGAAAAGCATTCAGGTCCTGAAAAATATCCCGTGGTGTCTGATGGAAGGGTGTGTGAGGGAGCACAGGGAGAACCACAGACAGTGAATTTGCACTACAGTGTTAAAATAAGTAAGAAATGACTCCACACTGCAAAAATATCAAATCCCAACCAACAACAGATGTTTCAGCAGTGAAGTTTCTTAGAAATCAGATTGCTAACCATGAATTGAGAGCAGGGGAATGACATTTTGTGTAAGGGATGGATGCTGCTTTTACTGCTAAATATGGTGATTTCCACTTGCAAAACGTAGGCTGGGGTAGAAGAGGGTGCCTTATCTGCAGGTTCAAGACATGAAAATGGGAATATTATTAGCTGAAAATATGAGGTGTGATGTGGCTGTCTGTTCACAGCCATAACAGGGGCTCCAAGTACGATGAGATCGTGTTTTGTCCAGAGAAAGAACCTGCTCTGCTGCCAGCACCCACCTTTGTCTCGGGGCTTAGGGACTGATGAATGCCCCTTAATTCCACTTGCCAAGATAAAGAGATTTTTCTTTTTTTGCAAACCCAACCCATTACAAATAATTCAGCAAACTTTCCTGCAGCTGGGGTCAGCTAAGGCTGGGTTGGCTCTGGAGCTGGGTGGATCTTTACCCCCTTTTATGGGGCTGAACTGGGAAGCTGGTGCAGGAGGAAGCCTTGCAGAGCCACTGTCTGCTCTGGGAATAAAGAACTCCTCTTTTCAGGGAGAGAATTTCCCTTTTGTGAAAGGTGGTGGCTCCTCTTCCCTGAGACTAAATCGGATCCTTATTTAGGGAGGAGGAGCAGAGTGAGCCTCTGCACACACACTTGACCTGGAAAGACCTCCTGAGGGTGGCTGTGTGCTCCAGGAGCCAACCCAACCCATCCCAGGCTGTGATGGGATGGCTCACCATGTCTTGTTTGGGGTCCTGGAGCACTGTGAGCCACCAGGCTGGGACTACCACACCCTCCACCAACACTCAGACACCAGGAAAGAGCCCCAGATCCCAAATATGCTTTAAGCAGAGTCAGGGACAGCTGGCACAGCTGGATCCTGGACACTGGAATCGATCTCCATGGCTGCAGTGGCCACGCTCCAAGTGCCAAGGCAGCACCAGCAGAACAGAATCCAAATTGCTTTGCCACGTACCCTCCCACAGGGCACCCTTTCCTCGGGATCTGACCCAAGGTCTGGCTCAAATTGTCTCAATTCCTGCCCTGGTGCTCCAGCCATGAGGTCACAGCTGGAGGGGGGAACCATCTTACAGCTGGGAGTGCATCCTCTCCCTCACAGGGAACGTTTCCATCCCAGCTCCTCAGGAGTCTGAGCTGCAGGTTTGCACGGTTTTGTGCCTCCTTAGGATGCTCTGAATGAGAGTTGAGGGGACTTGAGGAGTTACTTGTGTCTGTGCAGAGCTCCCCACTCCAGGATTTGAAAGGCACTGATTTTTATCAACCGAGGAGGATTCTCATTTTCAGTCATTTAGAAATGTGTGCTCAGCCTCCCCTCCCACCCCTTCCTCCCTCCCTCTCATGTGTTTCAGAATTTTCTTTTAAAATCCAGAGGCTTTGAACCCCCCAAAGCACCAAGGTTTCCTGCTTGGTCTTTTTTCAGCTTTGGGAATCCTCCTAAGGGAAAGAAGATGGAAAAGTGCTCTGAGGGGGGAATATCCTTATCACCGAGCTGTGAACTTTGCACTCCCCATCCTCTGGATTTTACTGTTCTGCTCATGTAGGGCAGCAACACAAAACCCACACACGACTGTCTCCTCTCAAACAAAGATTAGGGAATGTCATTAAAATCCTAAACTTTTCCTGCAAATTCTTTTGCAGTGGGCTTATATTGTGTTAAATCCTCTGAATCTTTAAATCATGTGCTCATCATTCATTTTACTTCTGACACGAGTTTTTCTATCTGCTTAGAGCTGTATTTGCTTTTTTTTCTCATTGAATTTTGCAGCTTAAAAGGAGTAGATTTTAGCCATAAATGAAAGCCAAGGTGATACATTTTTTTTTCAGGTTTTCCATCTAAAAATTTATAACTTGATTCCTAATTTTAACATAGCTCACAGCTCTCCATTACACGAAGCTGAAAACATCTATTATTGTAAGCTGAAAGTCTATGTTTATGCCACATTTGCATACCACCCCTTTTTTAAGCTTCAAGTGTCTTTATGATACTGAGTTCAAGTACAAGAGAAAGCTGGAACCAAAGGCTATTTTTCTCAAACACAAAAGAAGCAACAGCACAGAAAAGTCCTTAACTTGTCATCTGCGGTGCCAGCGAGGGTGACGGGGGGAGTGGTAACGATGCCCCTGCCAGGCTGGGGAGCAGCTCACACAGCGATTACTTCCCAAAACTTGGAGCTCATCTTTCCCCCTTTCAGCAGACCCGGCCGCCCTTCCCGTCCCAGCCGCAGGGAGAGGGAGAGATCTGCCAGTGTAGGACAAACCTCGCTAATCCCGGCTCCAGGACAAACCTCGCTAATCCCGGCTCCAGCCCATCCCGGCTGCTCTCACCCCCCAGATCCATCCGAGCCTGAGCTTTAGGAACCACCGCGACCCTGCCCTGAAATCCGGCTGCTTTTCCCTGACTTGGGACGGGTTGGGAGCAGGGACTTACCAGGGCGGCACCATTCCCAGGGCTCGCTGGTTCAGCGGGATCCCGCCCTGACAGCCCCCATGGATCCTTTGTGGAACGCGGGCCGCGTTATTCCCACGCGGAAAACCTCCGGGATTGCCGGAGTTCAGCCGTTCTTCCCTAAACCCCGCGGTGGGTGGCAGCCGCTTCCCGGCCTTTGTTCCGACAGGGATCGGCGCTGCCGAGCTCTGCCATCGTGTCTTGGGAAAACGGGACGCAGGAATGGCCCCGATGTCTGGGCAGGGGGAACTCTTGGGGGTCTCCATAGGAAGCGCTTTCCATTGGGCAGGGATGTGTTATTAGCGCTGAGCCCGCCCCCGGCGGGGCTCTGTGGGTCCCTCTCGCGGGGCACTAGCCCCGGATTCCCTTCCAGAGCCTCTCCCAGTTCGGAATTAGCAGTTTAAGGACAGCCCGACAATGAGCAGCGCGGATTTCCTGAGCAATTAGCTGGTGGACCCGGCCTGGGAGAGCGTGCCCGGTGGGAAAAGCGCTTTAGAGCTCGGATTTTCCTTTCCACGGCTGCAATTGTTTTGCCTTCCAATTAAAAAAGTGAGCAGGAGAGGGGGGAGCTGGGAGTCGGGAAAGCAGTGGGTAAGACTGGGAAGCTGCAGAGCAGAGCTGGCCATAAAAATAAAGTATCTTTCTGAAGAGATTTAGAAAGGGGTTGTTTGTGAGGTTGGGGTTTGTCGTGGGGGGCTGGGTGTTACATCTTCTCAAAGGAGCTGACTAAAAGTCTGGGCTCTTTTCCCCCAGCAGCTTGCTCTGAAAGCACTGGATTCCTGCTGGAAAGCCGGTCAGCTTTCCACTTCCAGGGTCATCGTTCCAAGTGCTCCAGGGAAGCGTGGCTGTGTCCGCCCGTGAGCTCCCCCGGGAGCCGCTCGGTGAATCTGCCCCCCAGCACAGCCCCCGCCTAAAAGCTGTTTATTTTTCTCTCTTACCTTCAATATCAGCCCTTCCACTGGGCACGAGGATCTTCTGGCAGCAGGAACAGCTCAGCGGCTTCATTTGCTGCAGCCAGTGCCCCTTTATTTCATTTTCAGCCTCTCTGGTTCCATAGGTCTGCGATCCTGGGGCTGCTGCTAAAGCCCAGCCTCCCACCTAACGCGTCTCGCTCGCATTGTGTTTGTCTCTCCTCTTCCTCCGCTCTCCTTGGCTGTTCCCACAGGCAGCCAAGGCCAGTAAACAACTCATTGTGAAGCTGGAGCTGATGTTATTCCTTGGGCTGGTGGCCGCGGAGTCGCCTCTGCAGCACCAGCTGCTGCCACAGGCTTTTATCCAGCCATGCAAATAACTTCCTGAATATCTCATGTAACAGCCCAACTGCAGGCTGCAAAACCTCAGCCTCGCGGAGCTCACGGTTTAACCAAACCTAAAAACAGGAGCGTGGATTCGGATTGAAAATGGTGCCGGGGCAGATGTTTCCTGCTCCTCAGGGTCAAAGGTCCATTTTACTTGTTTAGCTGCTGAAGAGACAAAAAAATGTGGGTGAATGATGAAGGGGTGGCCAAAGGCATCGGGTGTCACTGGTCACGGCTGAGTGTGGGGGCTGGCGGAGGGCTCAGGATGTGAAATCCGCCGGTAACCCCAGTAAGTTTACATGCAGAAATCCAGTCTCGTGGCTTCGGGCATTTTCGGGCTGGTTTTGTGGAAATCCTGATCCCTGGGGAGACGAGACTTTCACACCCATTCTTATGCGAGGCTGAGAGCTCTCAGTGGGGACCGATTAACCAACACCTCGGCGATTGAAATCGCCCTTTTTGGGGCAAAGGAGGACGCGGGAGGCCGGGGGTGCTGACACAGATTAGAACGACCTCATTGAAACCCTTCGCAGATTAACATCTTCTGTCTGAGCTTCCCAACTACCAGAGCTGGGCAAACCCATTAGAGAGGCGACTGGTGACTCCTGGAAGATTAAATACGACATAAATCTTACAACAAAACTTGTGTGCCTCTCGCAGCATTTGGGCAGAATGTGGTGACTGTGCCAGCTCTGCTGCTGGAAGGGACCCAGGCAGCTGTGCCTGGTTGGGACGTTTGCTTTCTCTCCGGAGTTATTGGTTTAATTAAAGACTCCTAACAAAAGTCTTCAGCTGTTGGGAACTTCAAGGGCTGGGAGAACTCCCGATAATGTTACCTCTAATCTGTCAGGAGACTGGGAATGGTATTTCTGCCCTTTGTGGGGTCCATCCTTCTAAACCATTGCAGTGGTTCCCGCTTCATATCCATTTGTGGTTGGCATTGAAGCCAAAAGCATCTCTAGTGAGCAGGTTATTCAGTCACCACTTATTTTGGGGCTTGTTTGGATTTTTTTTTTAGAAAGGAGCATTTATTTCTGCTAGCTATAGCCAAAACTGAAGCTGGAGAAGTGGAATCTCTAGGTTGACCCATGATGCCACTCTCCAATCTCTAGAGATCACACACACACAAAAAAAAAGTAAAATCTCAACCTTTTTCCTTATGGAACATAACATTTTTGGTGTTGATGAGAAAGAAAACATCCCCAGAGCAATATATTCCTGCTGCCCTGCAAGGCCCATTTCTCAAAGCAACACACACACAGGCCTTTATCCTTCTCCACACCAGCTCAAATAGGCCAAAAGCTGTGCTATCAACCCACTCTGTGTCTTTTTTCAAAAATAAATAAAGTACAAACATTTCCAACAAAGTGCCCTTAACATGGGGTTTATTTGCCAAACACGAAGAAAGGAGAGGCTGCCTCTCTTCTTGGTTACAGTTACAGGCAAGTGTTTTCTTTAAGATGGAAAAACAATGAATCGACTCCTGGGCTCTTCATCTCTGCTCAACCCATTTGGGGTCCCCACCCTGATCCCATGGTGCTCGTCCCAGACTGGGGACAGGGAGGGATGTGGTGAACTCTCCTTGTTAAAATATTGGCAGCACATCAATAATCTCGGGTTATTTTGGAAAACAAGGGAAACTGGGCTGTTATCTTATTGGAACCCGAGGCTGCTGAGAAGGCACAACGTGTCTGAGCAGCAGTTTTCCCCCGTTTGCAGTATTTTCTGATACCCCACTGCTATGATGCTTCTGGGATGTCTCTGGTTGTGTCACTGCTTGGGTGGCTTTGGGACTGGCAAATGCACTTTCCATGGATTTCAGCCACACAGGCATATCTGAATTTAAGAAATAATTTTGCATTTCCCAGCTTAATTCTTCTGCTGTCAAACCCAGCAAATATTTTCTGTAAAATGATGCTTTGTTGTGCCAATTTTTCCGCTTCAGGGCCCTTAGGAGCACTCAAAGGAGCCAGAAAGCAGAACCCAAATCAAAATGGCATTTAAAGGCCACTAGAATATATATGACAGAGGCATTAACTTGTCCCTTCCCTCCTCTGTTCATTGGCAGGAATCGTTTCCTTCCTGTGCTTTCCTGCAACAGCAGAATTCATTTGTCATTGGGGAGGTAAATATTTCATGGCTTTGGTTCATCCTGAGGCTTCCATGGAGCCTTCCATCCAGAGAGTCCATGAACAAGGTAAAAAGGGTGCCAGGAGTGGCTCCATGGCACCAGGGGCGTTTAGGGACCCTGCCTGGGTAAGGAGGTACCCCCACAATGCCAAAATACCAACTCTTTGTGCTTCAAACTGTTGGATTTAGGAATTTTAACTGTCTGCAAGACATCCATGATATTTTGTATCATTCTCTCATCCAGCTCCCCAAGCTTTCACACTTTTAAAGCATCAGCTTTAGGACCACAAGTGCTGTGGGATAATGTTTAATGTCTGGGTGATCCGAGAGGGTCCTTATTGGGATGATTAAACCAACAGCTTCAATTCTGTTTGAATGGGCCTTTTCACTGAGGTGTTTACCAGCAAAACTAACAGAAAAAATCAGTAATACTGGCTTTTTCTTGGGGGGGAGGAAAGGAAAAAAATCACTTTACAGAAGCAGCAGTTGGTGCTGGAAGAGATTTTAAAGGAAAATTCCTGAGCAGATGTAGCAGAATCAGGCTGGAGCAACCTGGTCTAGTGGAAGGTGTTCCTGCCCACGGCAGGGGATGGGATGAGATGAGGCTTTAAGGGCCCTTCCAACACAAACCATTCCATGATCTTATGATTCTGTAACCCTCCAGGAGCTCCCAAATGCTGTGGTGTTCACCAATTCTCGATGGTTTGTCAGGGCTTGCGTCTGAAATCTTTTTTGAAGAGTTTTATAGCACAGAAATAAAAAATCACTTTGGAAACAAATGGAAGTGCAAAGCCTCATCCTGTTCAGTTTTTGGTTTTTTAAATGTACATTTAGAAGGAGCTTTTTAATACTTTTAAGTGCTGTAGAGAGATGGCAGAAAAGAAAAATGAAAGCAAGTGCCCATTTGAAGCAGTCCCCTTGCAATTTTTAAAAGGCTTCATTTAAAAATCCTGGTTTGTTATTTATCAGCACTTAACATTCCATTACTTCCCTATCCAACACGACTTTTTTGCTAACAGATGCCAGGATTTTTCTTCTCCAAATGTTTAGGCCTTTCTGTATTAAATGCACTTAAGCAAAGGCAGTAGATCATGAGCTGCTGAAATGTGTTTCAGTGTAGGAAAAGTAAACCAAAAATTCGTTGGTTTTGCTGGCTCAGGCAAATTGAAAGCTGGGGTGGCACCAAGGCCTGAACCTGAATATCCCTCCAGACTTTGTGTTTTGTCCTCAGCCTTTCCTTTTATTTGCCAGGGGACTGTCACCCTCTGGCCAGAGCCCTGTGTTTGTGCCCTGCCTCTCTCCCCTGCTTTCCATGTCCTGCAGTAATTAAATCTGGCTCTTCAGAAATCACATCCAGGAGTCACTCCTGGCCAGAAAGACATTCCTGATTATTCTCTCCTCCAGAACAAGCTCAGACACTCACTGTGTCCTAATTTGCTGTGGGATCTGGGTGTGTTGGTCCTTTTTCCCCAGACAAAGGGGCGGTTTCCCAGCCCTGCAGCCCCAGAGCCGGCGGGAACGGGGGCACCGTTGTTTTGAAAGAGGCACCAGTGATCCCGAAATCCTACCCCTGGGAGAGGGAGCAGGTGTCTCCCAGCAGAGCCTCTGCCAGCACCAGCTGAGCAGAGCCTGATTCCCGAGCTGTGACATCCCTCCTGTGGTGTCTGACCGTGTCCAAGGGGACACTGGAACATTTCCCTTTGTGCTGGGGAGCAGAGCAGGTTCGAGTGAGAATTGGGTGAAATAAAGTTGGTTTCTTCTTTTTGTCTGAATCCCAGTGATATCCAAGTAGTGGCTCCTATTCCAGGCATGGTGGAGCCTGGTTTTTTAGCAGGGATAGTGGAACATGATCCTGCCCATGGCCAGGGGGTTGGAACTGGATGATCTCTAAGGTCCCTCCCAACCCAAGCTGGCAGTGCCAGCAGGAGGTCCCGTGCCCATATTCCATCCCTCCCAGCCTCCCTGGGCTGATGCCAAGGGGTGCCTGCAGTCAGACTGGAACAGGACATCAGCAAGTGCTGCTCTTTACTGGAGTAACCTGAATAACCAGGAAGATTGGGAA